GAAATAGTCCACAAAGTGCGAGGCGAGGTCCGAAACAGGGAGCCGGGCGGGGACAGGAACACTCGAAGATCAGAAGCAGGAAGCCGGGCGGGGAACAGGAACACTGGAGGAACAGGACTGGATGCTGGCCGAAACAGCTCTTCAATGACGACGTTGCTCCCGCAACCTGGGACCGGGCTGACTGGCCTTTATCTTCTCTAAGGCCAGGGGCGGCCCCGGCCCCCAGGAGCCCCGCCTCTCCTGGCCTTAAGGCGAGCACTCCTCCTGGGAGAAACCAGTTCCCTTCGCCTCTCTGCCCTAAGCCTCTGCAGTTCAGGAGAGGCTGAAGGGTTACTGGGCCCCGGGGGAGACTCACCTGTAGACACTGAGTGCTCAACCACCTCTGGGGCCAGAATGGATTCACCTGGTGCCTGCTCCTGAGGATCTGGCACACGTGCAGGCTCCTCAGAATCCAGGCCTTGCCCCAGTTCAGCCGGCCCTGGAGGCGGGGACTCCTGTGCCGGCTGGGATTCCTCCGGTTCACTCTCAGAATCAGAATCCCAGGCCATCACACCCTATACGGCCTAGGACCCTTGTACCTACGGGACCGCCTTGCCTGGTATGTCCCATGGAGGACCTTACGGTCTTCAAATAAAAACATATTGGAGATCCCTGGCCACAGGGAGGTTAGGCTGGTCTCAACCAGAGCCAGGGCTTTTTCGCCTCTGGCCCCGATCTGGTGCGCTATGTCACAAGAGACTAAGGCCCTGTGGGACTTGACATCTTTCCGCAGGCCTGCAAGACAGAGCTGTTCCACCAGGCCTTTGGCCAAGGCACAGTCTGACCCCCTCCTTCTGTAATCCTCATAGAACTCTAGCCCAATGGTTGCCATTAATTTGATTCTGAATTGATTTTAGAATGTATTTTAATTAATTGACTGTGATTTTATGTAAATTGTGCTATTTTTACTGTTGTTAGCCACTCTGAGCCCAGCTTCGGCTGGGGAGGGTGGGATATAAATAAATTTATTATTATTATTATTATTATTATTATTATTATTATTATTATTATACAGCGACAATTTGTTGTTGACAAAGGACAGCTGGACATATAAAGGGCCCCATTAACTTCAGTAGCTTAGGACCTCATCAAACCTAACTCCAGCCCTGCAATACACACAAAAACACATTTTGATGCTCACATTTTCACAAACCCATAAAACTATGAAAGTGTGTGCTGGTAATTTACAATGGCCTGACAGTGTGCTTTTGAACCGTTTGTGGCTGAGGAATTTGTAAAAAACAACAACAAGGTGAGCATCTGTGCCCTTGGTTGGCATCCATGTGTCTTGGGAGACACTGGAGGAGTGTGTCTTTGGAGGTTACTTATTTGTCAAAAAAGGACCAAAAAATTAGAAGGCAGAGACAAACAAATGGAAATGCCTGCTGGTATGAATGAGAGAGACCAGTTTTGCTCCTCAAATACAAATTCAGATATGTGTAGGTGTGGATTATTCCAGTCTAATTCAGATGGGGGAAAGTAGATTAACAGCTAAATAATTTCCTCATGTGGACAAGCCTGTACTATTACCATAGTTGTTATGAAAATATCATATAAGTGCACGGCAAAAGATGATCTTTTGCCATTTGGATCTTATGCGGCTATCTAACTACTAAGATGTGAACCTAAATATGGATTCTTATTTCACAAACGGAACAATTTTAGAGGGGCTGAATGAATTCCCAAGCCTGAACCACCCACGCCAGAGCCCAAAGCAGAGGCAGAGACAGCGTTGCCCATGCCAGAGCCTGAACCAGAGCCCGGGTTGCCCGTGCCAGAGTCAGAGTCTGAACCAGATCTGCCCACGCACATTTTTAAATGTTTATTATTTTTTAAACCCCAGATCCAGGACATTTGCTTTAAAGTGTAAAATTCCCCCCAGATGGGCATGTAGGACCCCAAAAAGTGTCCAGGAATTCCTGGACCTAGGGCAACCCTAAATAAGCTTACACTAGAACTAGACAATTTAAATTTATCATACTTCTGCTGCTTTGCTGCTGTCAGAGATCAGACTTAAGAGGACGAGATGGAGGAGGAGAACTGGTGGGGGTCACACACACCCTTTCTCCTGACACTGCAGGAGAAGAGGGAGACAGCCTTGATTTAAAGCAGTGCTTTGAGAAGTTCGAGGACGGTCACAGCGCAGAGATAGGTGAACAAAGGAGTTGGGATGTGTTAGAAGAAGTGGGGGAGGGAGGGGGGAATTGTGACAGGGCAGCCAGCTGACACGTCACTGGAGAGTATTTCTGATCCCCCTTCTCCCAGAACTTGGTGTTCATTAAGGGTGCAGGAACAACGGAACCAGAGACTTTTGGCTACAAACAGCCACCGTTAAGGGAGGTCTGTTGCTAGAAATGTGGGAGGAGGAGCCCAGATTGGAGGGTTTAAGGCTTGTTGCGTTCTTTTGTCTCTCACTATTGGGATTGGGGGAAAAGTCATTAAAAAGAAGTCTACCTTGTTTTCTCTGCTCTTGCTGCAATCGGGGAAGGAATAGCTTTCCCAAAGCCTTGACAGTGCATGAATCCACATTCGCCATATCCACAAAGAACAATCTATTGATGTATATTGAATTATGTCTTGTTCTTCTGATTTTAGTTTTGTATATTGCCCTGGAAAATGTTATCTAAAGTGTTTAAGAAGTCCTGTTACCGCCCCCACCCCCCATTTGTGATACAACTAACAACGTGAATCTTATATTGTGGATTATATATATACAGTTTGCATACAGTAGAAGTTAGAAGATGTCCCATAGGAGGGCATATATTTCCTTGGTAGGATCTCCCAGGCAAAATTCAAATGAGAATATTCCTCTGCTTTAGGAAGAGTTTGTCCTTTTTTTAAAATAAAAAACATCTCAAAGCATGTTTCTCTGAGTAAGTACCATATATAAATAATACTAAACAAACCACTTAATAATAATTTGCCTTTTTAAAAAAGAACAAAATTTTATGTATGATTGAAGTTTGTACAACACTTCAGAAAAGCCATCATGTGTTAGATTTAAAAATAAATCAGAAGCGGGTTTTTCTTTCTTTCTTTCATATAAGTACACATGAAAAACTGGAAATGATTCTGGCTTTACAAGCCTTTAAAAGTGAATGACCAGCTTTGTACTGATACCCACTTAACAAAGCAGAAATAAAGATACCATATACTGTGTAAACAAAAGGGTACAGTAAAGGACATTTTGAAATTTACACAAGAATTAGTTCAAAACATTTTGGTTGTTCCATAACAGTTTCCTATAAAATGAATTTTAAAAACCCCTAGACAGCTGTCATCATTCTTCACTATTGTTTCCACTTAAATGCACACAGAATACTTTATATAGCAATATACTGGTGTACTGTAACATGGATATTAAATTATGATTACCTTTTTTTTTCAAAAAAAAATTGAGATGTCTATAACCCAGTCAACATTATTGGCAATTGAAATATTGAAATACCCATACATTATGTATTCTCATCATGTTGGTAAGTATAAAAACATGAAAATATAACTTTACATTATTTCCTTTATATACAGTAGTTCAGGCTTGACAAAGAAAGATTTGTACACTACACTTTTAAGAGAAGTAGGCCCAGAGGTACAATAAAATAAATTTTCCATTGTATGCAGGAGTGAAATGATCTCTTTTGTCAAAAGGAAATTGGCTGGGAGTATCATATAAAAATGACTATAAATGGCCACTGAAGAACGGAACGATACTAATACCCAATGCAGCCCACTGCACCTCACTTTCCTGATTAGATGTGGACAGGGCAACTGTAGATCACCATAAATTGGCTCCTGAGAAATGGGAAGTTTTTACCATTAGAAGGTGCGATACCACAGGAAATCAGCATAAAAAGTTGTCACAACTATCAGTTCTGTGTACATGAGGGTGGTGAATGAAACCTACATACACCTGTGCCAAAAAGCAGGGATTTAAAATTGGCAACAGATTTACAGTGTGGCATTTCTCTTCATGGACGTTAAAATAAATGAGCATCCAAGTTTAAGGAAAACCCAGAGGACAGAAGGTCACACCTGTACCATTTAGTCTATAGCGGAGGATCAACTAAATAGAAATCCCTTTTGTATCGGCAGAAATGTAGCAGCACCACTCCTGCGGAATAATATTACTTTTATCAGTAGGTCTGGGTACCTGAAAGTGTTTCAATGAAATGATGGGCTGATTCACTTAAAACAATACTAGAAAAGCACTCACTGTAAATATTACTCTTTTAAATCCATTTATTGTTATAAATACAGTAATTGTATCTCAAAACTTAGGGCTATTATGAAAATTAACGGAAAGGAACATTGTCAAGGTTTTCCCCCCTCCAGAATTAAACTAGGATTTGTTCTTTACTTCTGGAGGCTTTAAATAGCCCTCTCCTTAGAATCAGGTATGACTCAAAATCTCAATTTCAGTTATTCCCATGTTAAGGAACATGGCCAATTCTGGTATATTATTATAATCATCTAAATTTCGTATTTTCAGCTTTAGTGCAGAATATCCCTGAATTCCATAAAGCCTATCTCAAATTGTAGCATCTTAACCAAAAGACAAGATTGACACACACCAGCCTGCTTGATATCCAGTAGACAAAGCTAATTCTGTCCAGCTTTAACTTTCCAAAATTTGAAGGCTAAAGTATCATCTTAAAAGAGGATGGGCTGGAGGCAGCCACTGCATATAAACATAAATGGGATGTGGACCAACTTGCAAAGATGACAATGCAATAAGCATTTGGCAATAAGCATCAGAACTTGTGAAGTGGTTTTAGTAGAAACTAAAAACCTCAACTAAAGACCTACAGTTTATGCAGAGATTGTGTTTCATATGAAACAACATTATGAAGGAGTCTAAGAGCAGCTGTAGGTCTTCCAAAAAACCTTGACAGTGTCCCTTTACATTTTAAATCCTTTATGACCAAACGGTGGCTAGCAAAATTAACTGGACCACTTGCAAA